GAACCACGGCACCGCTGAGCCCCCACCCCAGCCCCAGCCCAGGGTTCCTGGTGGTGGGAGTTTGGGTTTGCAAGTGCGCTCCACCAGATGGCCAACCCAAGCGTCAGACCCAAGTCCGTGGCCAAAAGCGTTGGGGTCGTCAGCTTCTGCAACGGACGTGTGCTCATCTGTTTGCTCATGCATCCCTTCGTTGACTCACCCATCAAACATTTATTGAGCATCTGCTGTGTGCTGGATGCTGTTCTCAGCCGCCAGGCTACAGGCATGAGCAGAACACACAGAAATCCCAGCTTACATGCTAGGGGATAGGCAGACTACAACAGATAAAATAAGTTAAGTATCGAGTCCATGGAGTGGTCAAAGTGCCGTGGAGAAAAATGAAACCGGGAAGGTAGGAATTCATCTCATCGAGATGGAAAGACTAAAAGTTTTAAATAAGAATGATCATAGCGGCTTGACGCATAAGAACTCAACCGTGGACAAGGCCCAGGTATCCGCCAGCAGGTGAGTGGGCCAGTATCTGTGGTCTGCCATGGGATGGAACATGTCAGCCACCACAGGGACAGCACTGATATATAAGCATGGTTGGCCTTCACAAGGGTGTTTTATCTGAATGGAAGGGAAAAACAGAAACGAAACCCACTGCCATTGAGTAATTTCGACACACAGTGAACCCTGAATCCTGAAGGAGGAGAGCGGAACTGCTTCTTCAGGTTTCCAAGACAGTAAACCTTTATGACAGTAGCCAGCCACATCTTTCTCCCAGGGAGCGGCTGGTGGGTTTGAACTGCCGGCCTAACCCACAGTGCTTCTCATGCTCCTTAGGTCAGGGGAAACTCACTGCCATCAAGTCTGTTCCCACGAATCGCAACCCTAAATGACAGAGTCGAATGGCCCCTGTGGGTTTTCAAGACTTAATCTTTACAGGAGCAGCTTGTGGTTGTGAACTGCTGACCTTGTGGTTGGAAGCCCACGTTGTAACCCACTAGGCCAACAAGACTCCAGTGGAAGAAGTCAGCTGCAAAAATAGATAAATCCCATATGACTCCATCTACACGAATTCCAGACGCATCTGGAGTGATGGGGATCAGAGTAGTTGCTGCCCTGGGGGAGGGAGGGTGGACGGGGAGGGTCATGGGGAGACTTTCTGGGGCTCAAGGGGAATTGCCACGTGTCTTGATGGACATTCATCAGTATCGATTGCATGGGCCACCACAGATCAGAGCATGTCATCTCAAATTAAAATGGTTTTCAGTTAAGAATGGTTTTAAAGCTCAGCAGCAGAGTAGCGTGTATGGCTGGAGGTAGTGATGCTGGAGGAGATGGAGCTGGGGCATGGGGTGACCAGGGAAGACTTGCTCCAGGAGAGGACTGGAAGACTCTTAAGGGAGAAAGAAGCTGGAGGATATTTGCATGGAAGAGCATTCCAGGCAGAGGGAATGGCAGGTGCACAGACCCCGAGGTTCAAGGAACCCCGTGGGATGCAGGGACAGCAGCACTGGCCTGGGGGAAGTTGGAGGAGAGGGCCCCGTGGAGAGGACGGAGGGTGATGGCAAGACTGGTTGCAATTCTCACGATGGGTTTTCACTGGCTCACATCAGCAGGGGGACTTGTTTCCAGAAAAGCCATCCAGGCACCGATCCAGGGTCAAGTCTCGGGTTTGGTTCTCTGCTGAGCAATGGCCTGAGGGTCTTGGGGGGCAGAATCTGGTTGAAGAGGCTGATTAGGCTCCACAGCCTTTTGTCCGGTTCCTCCTAAGTCTGATGGCATCTGTGAGGGGGACCTGGGGGAGAGGGGGGCGCCCTGCAGCTCTGACAGTCACTGGAGCTGTGGCTGAGAGCGAGGCCAGAGCCAGGACTGCAGCCCCGGTGGCTCACTGCAAGCCCACTGACTCCTTGCAGCAAAGCTTCTCTGGAGCTAATTGGTCCAGAGGAGCAGGACACCAAGGGTCCTTGGGGGAGGGGCATCAGCCCTTTGCTTGGTCTGAGTTTTAGGCCTTGCCGATGGCCAAGGCGAAAGATTTTAGGAAACCACTCAGGGTCAAAGGCGTGTCCTTGGCCGGGCTTCCAATACAATGAAGGGCCCGCTGAACTAGGGGAAAATAGATGAGCGTTTCCTTTCATGGCTGGCCTCAGACTTCTTCCTTCCTCCTCCCCACTCTCCATGGGGCAGGCCACAGAATCCCACCTCTCAGATGATTTGAGTTATGGTGGCAGTGAAGAATATGGACCAAACAGACCTGTCTCCGAAGAAGCGCAGCCAGAGTGCTCCTTAGAAACAAGGATGACGAGACTTGGTCTCATGTAATTCGGACATGCTGTCAGGGGAGCCCAGTCTCCAGAGAAGGACCTCGTGCTTGGTAGAGGAGAGGGCAGCGGGACGGAAGAAGACCTTCGACGAGAAGGATGGACACAGTGGCTGCAACCAGGGCCTCCGACATAAGAGCAGGTGTGGGAATGGTGCGGGACTGGCAGTGATTCGCTCGTGGTGAGCAGGGTCTCTGTGCGTGAAACTGACTCAGGTACCTAACAATAGACGAGGAAACTGAGGCTCCGACGGGCATCAGGACTTGCCCAGGGTGACACGGCAGTTGAAGTGGTACTGGCATTTGACGGGATTATAAACCGGGCACTTTCTCTTGCCACCCTGTGCTTGTGCCCTGGTCCCGCTGGACACAGAGCCCACAGATACCCAAAGCACGTCCGTACCCCACCCTCCATCCTTGGAGAAATTGGAGTGTCTGGCATCTGCAGAAATATCCTAGTCTCGCTGATATTCCCCTCTGCACTGTGGGGAAGAGGGCAGGGGAAACCAGTGGGAGGGACCAGAGAAAACTGAGGTACCCTGACTCTTCCAGGCTGACAGACTCGAGGAATCTGCCCATTTAACAGATAAAGAAACCGAGGACCCCAAAGATGACTGGCTTATGGTCCCATAGAATGTAAGAGTGCTTCCGATGTGAAAAGGAGCTCTGGGTTCTAGAAGCAGCTGTTGCACAGAGAGAGAGAGAGAGAGAGAGGGAGAGAGAGGGAGAGAGAGGCTTTGAGTGCAGTGTGTGAATAATGGAAAGCCGCCTCCCACCATCTCAAAGCATCTCCACACTGAACCCGGGAAAAATCCTGGGCAGAGGCAAAACTGCCCCTAATCCTGAGGCACTGGAAGGATGTGAAGGCTTGAGCAGTGTGTGTGTGTGTGTGTGTGTGTGTGGTGGGGGGAGGGGGCCTGTTGACACTGGGGGAGGACACACCAGCCTCTGTATGTAGGAGCAGCCAGCTGGGACAGGGAGCCTCCGGCAGCCCGTCCTCCTCCTCCCCCGGCCTCCTCAGAGCACCCCTCCCGCGCCATGCCCGCCCTCCCTTGGCTGAGAGGCTGTGTCTATTGTCTTTTCAGTGTCAAGAGCCTCCGCTTTGCCAAGCCACGCTCAGAAAACGCTATTGATCGCCTTTTATTTATTTATTTATGAGATCGCTGGAGGCAAAAAGAAAAAAAAAATACAGTAGGTTTTGTGCAGTGCTTCTCTGTGCCGTGAGAGGTTGTGTTCTCCCCCTGCATTTCTCCCCCATGCTTGAGTGCGAGTACGTGCACACACACACACACACACACACACACATACTGCCCCTCTCTCCACCCCAAAATGGGCCAGTGGACTGCAAGCTGCTTGGGCTATTGCTGCTGCTGCTGCTGCTGCTGCTGCTGCTGCTGCTGCTGGGGGCTATGGAAGCCATTCCAAGTGACCCCAGATGACAGCATGAAACTGCTGTATGGAGTTTTCGAGGCTGTAATCTTTACAAGGACAGAACCCTGATGGGTTTCAAGCAAGTTTGCTAACCACAAGGTTGAAAGTTCAAACCCACCAGCCAGTCCTTGGGATAACCACGAGACTATCTGCCCACGTGAAGATGGACAGTGTGGGCACCCAGTGGGGCAGTTCTCTGCACTGTCAGAGGGCTATGTGTTGGGACTAATGCAGCCGCCGTGGGTTTGGGGTTTGGGTTTGTTGACGGTCATCTTTCTGGTAACAGACTGCCAGGTACTTTCTCTCAGAACCACCGGACGGGTGCCCACCACCAAAAGACCTGTAGGATCCATGGGTGGGTGAAATTTTGAGGGTGCTATGCCAGGAGTCTTGGTGGTGTGGTGGTTTACACGTTGCGCTGCTAACTGCAAGGGCAGCTGTTCGAACCCACTGGCCACTCCGCGGGAGGCTTTCTACTCCTGTCAAGAGCTACAGTCTTGGGAACTCACAGGGACAGCTCTCCCCTGTCCTGGAGAGGCGCTGTGAGTCGGCATCCTCTATGGCAGTGAGTTTCGCTGCTTTAAAAAAAAAGAAAGGTGTGGCCCCTGAAGGTAAGGAAGCTGAGGATGCCTAGGTGACAGTGTCTCATCGCCAGTGTGCCCGGTGGATACGACAACCTTGTTGTTGTTGTTAGTGGCTGTCAAGTCAGGCCCAGCTCACGGTGACCCCACATACAACCCAACAGCACACCGTCCAGAGCTGCCCCGGCTTCCCAATCCATGACCACGGTGCCTTTGGAGTGCCTTGCAAACTCGTGGGCTCATCCCCCGGCACCGGATCCGACAGTGTTCTGTTGTGGGCCGTTGGACTTCCGTGGGCTGGTTTTCAGAAGTAGATTACCAGGCCTTTCTTCCAAGTCTGTCTGAGTCTGGGAACTCGGCTGTAACCTGTTCACCAGCAGGGCGGACCTGCGGTACTGGAACTACCAGTGACATAGCTTTGTCACCGGTTTGTTGCCACTTAGGTTTTGACCGTGTGCCTGACAGCCAGACCAGCTGTGAACTCTGGAGGGCAGAGTCCTGTCTAGGGGCCCCTTGTCTCTCCCGGGTGAGGACAGAGAGAAGGTGAAGGGAGGCTGGGCGCTCGTCCCGGGTGCCACCTGTAACAGTATATCCGGTGGCACTCGCCCAGTACCTGAGCGGGGAAAGGCCCAGCCAGCACATTCATCAAGGGATCTCTCTTCGTTCTCGGCTTATTCTTGCAGGAGTTCCCCTTGGCCATCCTCAGGGGCTGGGAGTGTTACTGTTCTTACCCCACGCCCCAGTTCAACCTGCGGGATGGAGTGGATGGCACCCTGTGCGGCCAGGAGCCTGAGGCCCAGCAGCAGGGGCCCTACGGCCAGGTCTACCAGACACCTGTGCAAGGTGAGCTCCCTGCTGCCACCACTCTTTGGGACCTTTGGCCTGTGGGGTGGGGAGGAGCTTTCAGGATATGGGGCTGTGGGTCCTGGCAGGGTGTGTAGGCTGTGGACCAGGCAGACTTCTGGCCTGTCCCTGCTAACCCCAGGAATTGAGAGAAGGGGAGTGGGGGTGGGGGAGGGGACCAGCCTTTTTGAAGCCCCTGCTATGACTAGACACAACCCCAGGTGTGTTAGGACTTGGCCTGGGATCTCATGGGCTCCTTATAGCACCCCTGCTTTGCACTACTAACAGCAAGGCCAGAAGTTCAAACCTACCAACTGTTCCGAGGGAGAAAGCTGAGCCTGCGTGCTCCTGCAGAGATGGGCAGTCTAGGCAATCCTAGGGAGCAGTTTGCTCCGCCCTGTAGGGGCGACGAGTCAGGATGGACACCATGGCAGTGGGTTTGGGAGATGCCGAGAGGTCATGTTCTTAGAAAGAGTCCCGCCCTGGCTCGTGGTTGGAGGTAGCCGGGTGTGTCGCCCTCCTCCCCTGTGACTGAGGGGACCCGGGTTTGTGGCCATAAGGACAGAGCTGGGGCCGAGGGCCACAGGACCTGACTCGCACCTCTACTGGTGCCCAGGGCGCAACCTTGTTGCTGAGATTTTTCTGTCTCCGACCACAAGCGTGTGCCGCCTGGCTGCAGGGGACAGCTCCTTCCCCTCCAGGGGCCTCCGCTGCCCCACCTGCTCATTGGGAGTCTTAACCTAGGAGGTCCTCCGCGGGGGGCTCCCTGAGTAACCCTGAGACCACTGCTGGGTTTCAGACACTCGGTGCACAGACCGGAAGTTCCTGCCAAGCAAATCCAAAGTGTTTGTGGCCTTGTCCAGCTTCCCGGGAGCCGGGAACACATGGGCGCGGCACCTCATCGAGCACGCCACCGGCTTCTACACGGGCAGCTATTACTTTGACGGAACCCTCTACAACAAAGGTAAGGCCCAGCCGCAGGGGGGAGGGAGGAAAGCAGCGTCCTGCACCACCACCCCGCTCCCCAGCTTTCCACACCAGCATGTGCATAGGAACCACCCCAAAGGGTGCGTGAGCACAGACTCTAGGCTGGACCCCGGAAGTGCTGGTTTCACACGTCCTGGAGGGGAGGGGGATGCGGGCTTGGCGTTGCTACATGCAGCTAGCAGGTGATGCTGTGCAGCAGACGTAGGGACTGTGCTTGGATCAGAACTGCAGGAGAGAACCCTCTGTCGCATTTGAGGGGTCGAGCTAGCAGTGGGGATTTCCCTCTCCATGCACATTTCTGAAATGGCCCATAATTTTCAGAACCCTCAGTAAGGAGCAAGGGGTAAGACATCAACATGGTGTGTATGTGTGCAAGGGGTAAGGCATCAACATGGTGTGTATGTGTGCAAGGGGTAAGGCATCAACATGGTGTGCATGTGTGCAAGGGGTAAGGCATCAACATGGTGTGCATGTGTGCAAGGGGTAAGGCATCAA